AAAATGATTTTAATATTAACCTGCGGCAATAATGTGAAATTTTTTCCGTCAGTGTTTACATAGTACCTGCCGAATAAAAACCTAATACAAGCTCACAAGGTAACTAATATTATGGCAAAATCACGATCTGATGAGATTCAAACATATGTCTTGCCTTATTGATTTTTATATAATGACAGTTAACACTTAATCATAAATATATTTTTTTAAAAATCTTAACGTTTATTGAATTCTTAAAAAGTTACATTTTCAGATCTTACATAATATAGTAAAATTTTCAATTAAAAAATATATACCATTTTGCGCATATGCACTTTATAAGATTAGGTATAGCGTGAAATCAACTAGCATGTTAATTTAGGGTAAGGGTCAGCCTTAAGATAGTTAAAAATTTAGCAAGGAATTTTTTTTGTTAAAACGCAAAAGGTGGTTTAATAAGTAAAATTATGAGCTACGGGCAATTTTTAGAATTCTCCAGAAAATTTATTTCAAAATTGTTTCAAATAATGTAACAATATCAAACCACGACTGTGAGCCTAGACCACTAGACGGGACCTAACCTCCTTAATATAGGATTTTTTACGAAAATCTTTTCCGTTTAATCAAAAAGGAAATGTGACGGGTCACAAGCGCCAATAAGTAAGCAGACACATTCCCACTTAAAATTAAAAGGAAATGATCAGATTGCCGAAAAGATTGAAAAGGGTTAATAAATTAATAATCCAAAGGCTTCCGATTATCGTGTGTTGACCTGTACTTCTTTTAAAAATCGTATCATTTTGAACGTGTCTATATATCAAACGAATTAAAATCTCAGGTAATTTTTCGAATAGAAGATATATGGGGTGCCAGTAGAAACCAAGCAATTTGTTTCTAAGTAAATTTGTTTTAAACTTTAAACTAAAATATCTCAACTACTATTAAATCAAACTTGATAAAAAAATTTTTATTTTAATTCTATAACTATATAGAATTAAAATAAAAAAATTTTTATCACATTTGGTTTAGTAGTTGTTGAGATATTTTAGTTTAAAGTTTAAAAAAAATTTACTTAGAAACAAATTGCTTGATTTCTACTGGCACCCCCCCATATGTTTAAACATGGCTTTAATACTAATATAAATATAATTAGCCTACAATATTAGTCCGAAATTATGTCAGTGAAAACATGTGAGTTATCATGTTTAAAAACTTTCATTTCGTGATTATATATTTTATTAACAAAATATTTTATGACATTAGTATCAGTACGTTCAAAACAATTGGAAACTTCTCTTAAAAAATACAGTGTAAAGTGTTTTGATTTCTCGGAATTTAGTGATCTCGTAACTGTTGGTGGTGGAGGTTATGGAGTCGTATATTCGGCCACTTTTCAAGGACAGACATATGCATTAAAAAGCTTGAATAATAATTTAAATTTCGGTGATAAGGAGTTCAAGCAATTCAAACGTGAGGTAAGGTTGTATTTAATTTATTTTTTTATAATATGAATCTAATTTCCAGCATTTTACATTACGTATAGCTTAAATGTCTTTATACCGTTGAGAATCATGACAATATTATAAAATTTTATGGAATTTCTAGAGGCAAGAACCTTACAATTGTCACAAATATTAGCAACTCTTTTGTAAAACATTGTGGCCAATTTAATATTATCAGAATTGTCACGATGAAAAGTACTGAATTTAGACACATTTTTTGCAAAGAGAGTTGCCTATATTCGGTAACATAATAAAATGCACGACTTGGATATTTATTAGGAAATGTTATATAACTTTATAAAAACAATGTCATCTCTTGCTAGGTCACCAGTAATTGTATTAGAATAAACTTGAAAATTTTTACTAATCAGCTAAAACATTGGTTAATCCACTAAGAATTAAACTATTGAGTTGGGCAATATCCTAGCTGGATGATACTTCTTCCTAGCAAAAATCCAAGCATATTGAGTATATAAACTTACTAAATTATATTTTAGACGATAGAATGGGAAATTTTATGTTGGTATTACAATATGCCACTAATGGCAACCTACGAGAACATTTACGGAGTAAACAAAAAGATGGTTTATATAAGATTTTATGGGTTGATCTACACTTGGATTAAACCATTTACATGAAAAAAATATAGTTCATCGAGATTTAGTAAGATATATTTCTTTTAAGCATTCTAAATTTCGTACAAAATCTAAACTAACGATATTTCTTAAATCTTGTATGTAGCATTCTAAGAATATTTTAATAAATAATGGTAGAGCTCTGATCACTGATTTTGGAATATCAAAGCAATTAGACTCTACTACTACTGGTGCTGCTTCAAGCACAGATGTAAAGGGCATAGCGGCATACTTAGAGCCACAATATTACATCCATTGTGAGGAAAAAGTATTCGAGCTCAATAAAACATCCGATATTTATAGTTTAGGTGTATTATTCTGGGAACTCACAAGTGGAATCCCACCTTTTAATAATCTTACAAATTTAGCTATTATTTTAAAAATTGCTCGAGATGAAAGAGAAAAAATCATTGAAAATACACCATTAGGTTATGCTAATCTTTTTAAAAAATGTTGGTCTACTGACCCAGACCAACGCCCATCTCCAATTGAAATTTTAGCCGAACTCGATAATTTATCAGCGGAAACTGTAGAGTTTATTACAAATAACTTTAAACGTGGTAATGAAAGTATTCTCATGAAACCAAAAACTTCAATTTATCCAATTAAATTGATTGAAAATGCACAAGACAAGTCCATTGAAACTAAAGTCATCTCGACGAATATTTCTTCAGAAGACGAATTGATTGAAAAAATACAAGTCATCTCGACGAATATTTCTTCACCGGTTGAATTAATTGAAAAAACATTCTCTGTAGAGAGTAATACTATCGATTATAATAAATTTAGAGTGCTTCGTAAGATTGGAGAAGGTGGTTTCGGAACAGTTTATGAAGCCATGTGGGAGGACCGGGAGCTGATGGTTGCTCTCAAAAGTTTTAATAACGCCCCCACGGATCGACTGAAAATATTCAAAAAATTTTTATCGAAGAGGTATTAATATTAATAAGACGGACTTTAGTTTTTACGTTGCCTTGATTATTAAAGAACATAATCTGCGTAGTTTAAATTACTAGGAGAAATTGCTTCTCATCCGAATATTATTGATTTCTACGGAGTAACCAAAGGAATGTAATTTTGATTAATTGTAAATAATATAAAATTTGAACTCATTAATTCTTACATAAATATAGATGTTTCCAATCATCACAATCTGATATTGCAATTAGCCAACAATGGTAACTTAAGAGACTATCTTAAAGAAAATTTTTATAAACTCGAATGGGATACCAAAATGTGTATTGCAAGTGAAACATCAAATGGACTCGCATTTTTACATTCTAACGATATAATTCATCGTGATCTTGTTAAGTATTTGGATAATCACCGTTTTCAAGGATCTTTTTATTCAAATCAATAAATTTATTAATAAACTTATAGCATTCGAAAAACATCTTAGTTAGTAATGGACATATGAAGATTGCAGACTTTGGTTTAGCTTCGCATAACGGCCAGCTATCAAGAAATTTGGGGCCTATTGGAATGCTTGAATATATTGAACCCAAATTGTTCAGTAATAATTCATATAAATGTGACAAGAAATCTGATATCTATAGTTTTGGGGTGATTCTTTGGGAAATTTCAAGCGGAAAACCACCATTCGATTCATATCCTCAGGAAAAAATTGCCATTTTTATAAGTAAAGGCGGGAGAGAAACACCCGTAGAAGGAACTCCTTCTCAGTATATTAAACTTTACAAACGATGTTGGGATGAAAATCCAGAAAATCGTCCAGATTCAAAAGCTGTTTCGGCTATTTTAAAGCATTTGGCACTAAGCAGTGAACCTGATAAGATTAATTTAGAGCGAAAACCTGAAGGTATGTGATTGCAATAAATTTTTATTATTATTACTGAATATTCCGTTGATAATTTAGAAGCTCAAAATGATATTAATATTGTTTTATATATTTTAGATCATCTGGTACTAAGCAGTGAACCTGATGAGATTAATTTGGAGCAAAAATCTGAAGGTATGCGATTGAAATAAATTTTTATTTTTAGTACTGAATAGTTTAGAAACTCAAAATGATATTAATATTGTTTTATATATGTTAGATCATCTGGTACTAAACAGTGAATCTGATAAGATTAATTTAGAGCAAAAACTTGAAGGTATGCGGTTGAAATAAATTTTTATTCTTATTACTGAATATTCCGTTCATAATTCAGAAACTCAAAATGATATTAATATTGTTTTACATATTTTAGATCATTTGGTACTAAGCAGTGAACCTGATGATATTAATTCAGAACAAAAAAACAATGTAAACTACAAACCAAAGCCTGAAGGTATGCGTTTAAATAACTTTTATTTCTATTCCGTTCGAAGTTTGGAACCTCAAATGACAAATTAGTATAATTTCAGAAAATATAATTGCCGTTGCAGACGTTACGGAGGAAATTACAAAAGAGGTTTATACATCTAATGTGATCAAAAGTAGAGAAAACATTAGCTGTTATACTTATTATACTCCAATTATCGCTACAATATCTGGTCTAATTAAAGAGATTATAAAAATATATGAGAAAGCACAATTTAATAAAAAAATTTGTAATTCCCTACTTGATCGTGCAAAATCAGCAGAAGCAGCCATGAATACTTTACAACGAAGAAAGCATGAGAATGAGGAAAAGTTTCGTAATCAAACATATTATACCAGGAACGGAGTTTTCCGTAAGTGAAAACGGAGAGCATGGTTTACCAAAATGTTCGAGGATGTGCGTCC